GGAATCGGTCTTTTTTAAGTCATCAACATTTACATCCTCTACCACCGGGTAATTCAGTTCTTTGATAGGGTATCAAAAATTGGTTGGGCTATGCCATTTCTCTGCAAAGCTAGAGATCCACAATTTGGGGGTGAATTCTCGAAAAACATTGTTTTATAATGTCCCCCTAACGATTAGGAAAATGCACATACAACGCAATTGCTGCGGCTGTGCCAGCTGAACCAATAAAAAAATCAGCAAAAAAAATCGAAAGAGAAGACACAAAATCGAATTAATCGTACTTCCGTTGGGCTTCCTTAGGGAATCCATGAATTCCTAGATACATGAAGTAAGTATTGTAGAGTAGACCAGCTCCGGCATTTACTGCTAGACACAACGAGATCGTCGACAGCATTAGTCGCATATTTTTATGCATTACACCAGATCGCTAAATATTTCCAAATTATTTTCACAAAGAGGAAGAAGAATGAAGTATTCTGACGCTAATCAGTTCAATTAGGGAATGCGCCCCGAATTCGACTTCCATTCAGGATCGTAGTGGGGTAATGAATGCGTATGCGGCCTAGACAATGACTTGCGGTGGCCAGCCGTTGTACAAGTCTGTGTTTTTAACCTCCCAGAAGAGCTGGTACCAATTGATCGACCCCGAAGGGATGAGAGCTTGATTGGCCTCTGATTCTGATCACATAGCGATTCAAATTGCTTCTGAAATTTTGAGGGAGAGTTCTTTCAATGTTTTTCTCTAAACGACTTGGGAAGCAATAAAGATTTATAATTAGGTTGGTGACTGTACATGCCTAGTTAATGATATCTGTTGTACCAATTTCGATTAATGAAAGGTTTTCATCCGAATCACCAACAGGTTGGATCGTCCACTGCCCTTTTTGAGTACGTTCTGCAATTTTCTGCAGGACGTGTCGATAGAGCTGTATGGGGGATTACTTTCTATATTTCTTTTTTAGAGTCCTTTTTTTTAACCAGTATACATTGTCATCTTGAACCAGTATAGAATTAAAAGCTGTCATTCCTTTCCACTTTATACTGACTTCCGTCATACATTGGAATTGACCAAGAGCCCCAGAGACCCCTGGCCGGGTGTGTATCAAGCTTGATTAGGAAATTGCAGCCAACAGTTAATGTCCCATGATTAACCAGGAAAAACAGGCACGCCGTTCTCCGTTTCAGGCTCAGCGAACTTTCTGCTCCAACGAATTCACGTCACGCACACGTCATGGATACCCCCAGGACTCTTTAGTAGTGGGAGGTACTTTCAAAGGCACATTTTGAACTCTTCTGGTGAACTGGGAACACTGGACTTTACTCTCTATGCAAAGCGATTCTCAGGAAATGGAGACGCCATGAGGTCCATCCCTTTTTGAGGCGGACAGTGAGGGTACGTTAGTGTTTGTCTGATTAAATTCTATTAATCTCGAACCGCTTAAGGGCATCGGACTCGCGCGCATGGGCCCATTCCTCAGTGCTCTGGAGTTGGTTGCTAAGTCCTGATGCTTATGATATGGCGCATTTCAGAGGGGATGATTAACCCTGACTACTGTCTCCTTTCAACAACGGAACAACCTTTTACGCCGTGCATTCGAATCGGCTCCCTAACAGGGACTAGGGTAAAATCCCTGAACAACTTGAGCAAGCTCGTTCTCCGGGGATGCACGAGACGGCCGTTTTTGTTGATCAATAGCCGACACACCGCGGATGGCTTTTGACGCGATTAATTAGCATGCCAATAATAATTATAAAAAGGAAGCCTAAGCTGATTTTTGATTAAAAAAGCAGATAAGCAATATGCAGAAATATTTTTCACTTGCAACCCCTCTCCCTGTTTGGTTTCCTTTGTGCATTGTTTGTGTAGATCCCTTTTAACTTGGCTTCCCTATTCTATGTAGTAATGACTTTCGACACGTACGGGGGCTTTCCGTCTTCCTGCATATCTCTCCGTCCATTCAAGCATTCTACCCGTCCGCGCAAACGTCGTACATTATTGAACACAGAGTCCACTCCTCATCATTCACCAAGACTGGGACTCGTGCCGAGTTCGATCAAAGAACGAATGATTTGCATCTTACGGCATCAATAAACAACAAAATCATTAGCTACTAACTGGCTAAACCAATATTTAGGGCCTACACCCATTGAACACGAGTCTTTAACTTTTCCCTATTAAGAGTTTTAACCTGAGTAATTTTCCAAGCCGATTATTTATATTAGAAGATCCTTAAATGAGAAAAAAATTCCTCATCAGATTTTCAACATGTTTTCAATAATTAGTTTTCAAGTTAGATATATTATTTGTTCTTGAATGTCCTATCTATTTATTTTAAGCCGTCGAATCCACATTCAAATAATTTTTTTAAAACAAACTTGAGCGGAGATGGTGTAGCGGCAAGTGGTCAGTATCACGCGCGCATGGTCAGTAGACTGAATTCCTGCTCGGTATCCGCTTAGGCCTATCTAAGCTTCCATCCCCAGTCCCTAGAGTCGGTCAGCTGGTAATGGAGTCGCTTGGAAGGGTATAAGTCCTGACTTGTACATCTTCTGGTCATCACAAGTCATTGTATAGGGCATATGCGCGTTCATTCCGCCACTACGATTCTGAATAGAAGTCGAATTCCCAGGCGCATTCCAACAACCGCGTTGATCAACGCCAAAAGACTTTAAACTTTTCTTCCTATCAAATTTATCGTTTTTTCCATAGCTATTTTTTTTACAGTATATACTCTTTACTTCTATTAATTGAACAACTTTTTCTATTTGTGGATGTATTAGCTGAAGACGTTCTTTTCTAGGATGTTACTATTAATTTTTAATAGCTAGTTATTCAAGTGAATGGAAAAAATCGCTATATGCAAGGGTATTCATTCCGCTTTTATGAGCACTAGGTACATGTAAGCTCAACAACAGCTCTTTTCCTTAGATATTTTACGATTGTACGAATTTTTTTCTAGCTGTTCTACTCTATGATTACATCTTGTTCATAGAGTGGGATACGAATAAATAAATAGATAAAAAATTGAACAAATAAATAAACAAACACGCATTGTTTGATCTCAATCTTAAGAGAAGAGAATATCATATAGACGACGAAAAAGGTTTTTCAGCATTCGAACTCTACTTGCATGAATTTTTACAATTATACTTCGATTCTTATATATTGGTGAGGTTTTATATTCATTATCAACATCGTTCATTATGGAAACGCGTCAGGTAGCATTGAAGTAGGTAAAAAATTCGATAATGATGAGCCATTCCCTCTTTATTTGGGATAATTATTGTAGGAATGTTNCGTGTCGATAGAGCTGTATGGGGGATTACTTTCTATATATCTTTTTTAGAGTCCTTTTTTTTAACCAGTATACATTGTCATTTTGAACCAGTATAGAACTAAAAGCTGTCATTCCTTTCGCACTTTATGCTGACTTCCGTCATACATTGGAATTGACCAAGAGCCCC